ATTATGTTTTGTCTCCTCTGCAGACTTCTTACATTGTCTTGACCATGAATGTATTATGTACTCATTATTTGCTCATCAACAACCCTGCTCCTGTGTACTTGACTCAAAACCTTTGAAATACTCTGTATATGGTTCTTGAATTTTGCAGTTGGTGGGCGTACCTCTACCTGGCAGTGCTGTGGTAGGTTTGTACTCTGCAAACCCAGGGTTTACCAGGGTTGTTCTCACCAATAAAACTGCTGAGGTTCCCTGTGGATCTGAGCGTACATTTTTGCGGCTGCTAATCTGAGATTCCCTGACAATAGCAGTGGCCAATTCCAGGCATTCCTGTCTAACACTCGCTATCTAAATCCTTGAGTCTGGTTTACATGCAGGTTTTGGAATGCAAACTGCTTTCATCCTGGCAGATGTTACATGCCCAAAGGTGGTGAGGGAAAGTACATCTATGTTGATTCTCTTGGGCCTCTCAGTACCATGTGGTACTATTGACTGTAAGATGCTTTGGAATACTTTCCTAGGAAGGGTACAATTTTGCAAGTAGTTCCAGTTCTTCCTTCCTAGGGGATTAGTCTCCTAAGACAAGGCTGGGAGGCTGCTGTCCTGGGAGTTTTGGTATGCAGGATGCTGCAAAGGCCATCTTATTCCCCATGCCATTTATCGTTTACATGAAAATCCTCAGTGAAGTTGCTTAGAGACTTGATCATCAATGTCCTCATCTTGGTCCTCATTTTGAAAAGCTCCTGGATTCAGTAGTGCTCCTAGATATCCACCCAGTGTTAGAGTTGCACCCTGCTCTTTCCTGAAGGATTGGGCTTTGCCACTCAGCTCTTGATAAATTACTGTAGTGCTTAATGTGGGGCTGACCTTGAAGACTAAATAGAAGCTAGAACTGATCCAGAAGGCAAGTGTCAGAGGCTTAATGGGGCACAAGTTGTTTTAAGTTTGTAAGTCCACTTTTGTGTCAACTTCACTGGCTCACACTTGGTTTCCATTCTTCTGCTTAACATGCTGATTTTCACTTTTCATGCTGTAAACCAACTTGTGGCCTTCTGGATGTTTGGGCCTAGAACTCTCAACACTCCATACCACTGGCTAAGCAGCCCAAGGCCAGGATATGTTAGGGGCTACTTCCTCTCATACAAAGCTATTCATGTATCCAGATCATTGGCAGAGGCTTAAGGAGCAATCCTATGCATGTTGACTGGGTGATGCTAGGAGTTTTCTAGACATAAATGAAATTGCAACCTTGCTCTCTTTTTCCCAACCATCAGAGCTATGTGGATGGCTACCCAAGATGAGATTTTCTCAATAGTGGCCCCAATTGGGAGGGGCAAGGAGGTAATGGTAGGGGTGGGTCCAGTGTGCAGTTGTTAGCCATGTGAGTGGAAGTGACTGAAGAGGCCTTGACAAGTGCAAGGGGAAGAAAATGGAGTTGCAGCTATACACCTGCTTAGTCTTCTGATTCAAATGAGGTTCTTGTCAGCCAGAATGGATGCATTGCAGCAGATAGCACTGTACCTTACATACTGCATGTATGTGTGTGTGACTAGATGCTTTTTCAATGCCGGAGGTTTAGGGTGGCTCTTTTTACAGCTAAGATCACAGCAGGTATATAAATACATTAAACAAAATCTTCACTTTGTCTGAGCCATTGGGGAAATGATGAGGCGACATGCCCCGTTCATGAACAAAGCACAGGGTGAGGTGTGGGTCCACATTTTTCTCTATATAATTTACTGTGGTTGGAAGCAGCTGACACTTGCATTATGAGAGACAGCGATGAGAAATCAAATTTTCATTAAAAGGGGCATGTTGCTGCATGGAACTGAACCTTGCCCTGCATTGCCTTCCCATATGCCACACATTTCAGGCGTGCCCCTTGTAGGCGTTTTCTGAAAATCGCTAGACTAGGTGTTTACTTATCACTAAAAGGAAGAAAACTATCGTCACAAAGAGGGCAACATTTGCATAAAATGTACACGTTAATTTGCATGCACAGGTGCCCATCTGGTGCTCTACATCTATAATACAGAGAATCTATAATACATGATCTTACCATAGCAGAGAAGACTGTTAGTAGGTAACCTGCTCAGCCTGCTGCTGCTGCCCTCTGATTCTGGCCTACAACATCCATCAGCCCCAACTAGCATGGTGATGGTTGAGGGTGATGCAAACTGCAGCCCAGAACAGCTGGTGGAAACCAAGTTAGGTAAGGCTGAAATAGAGGATACCTTTAAGCTAAGAACTGTTCTCCAGGATACAACTGAATTAATGATTTTTCGCTACACTTCTTAGGAACTCTGACCCACACAGGATCAGACAATCCTGACTCTTTGATCTGGAAACTGTGACTTACGTCATCTCCATCAAAAACAGGCAGAAGCTTACCACACTCAGACAGAAAACTTGACTTCCTCTCAGCTTTCTCAGCACAGAAGCTAACGGAAATTCTTCCAACAGACCAGAGAGTACATTCTCTTCAGTCTCTTACGAAAATAATCAATGTGGGTCACATTCTTTCTGGCTAGGAGTTAGTCATGTGAAATATAACACTCATCCTTCCTATAGGTTGAGCTGAACCAAAGATGCCCTCTCTGTAGCCTACATTTTCACAGCCCTATGATCAATACTTGTATAAGCCCTACTGAGGTACTTTGCAATCACAAACATAGTTATAATTTTATATGAATTAATTGTTCTAATCTCAGCAGTGGCACTTTTCAGACTTTCCTCAGAATGGAAGGGTTCAGTCTCTAACTGTCATTTTAAATAACAGCCTAATGGCTTTCTAAGGATGCAGGCCTAATCCTCTTGGATATGGTTTATGTTTATGATAGGGTGCAAGTAGCCCTGCAGCCATGGAGAAGGTCTGCCTGCCTGCCTGCACCAGGAGAATGCTTGTGGAGGTCATCCCTGAATACCCACGAAGAAAAGTGTGCACGTCTCTGCTAGTGGCATCCCACAATGTAGGTCTCTGAGGCTGGGGCAGCGGTTCCAGCCTTGGATCTGTCTGGGGCAGAGGATCTGCTTCTTTTCCTCCTGTGGAACCTCAGGATCAGACGCCTTGCCTATGCAGATATTTCCCCTCCAACAGAAGAGTGGGGGAGAAGAGGGGACGTCTGAGTGCCACTCCCCACCCGCCCTGGTACAGCTTTGGAAGTGGTACACAATCCACAGTGCTCTGCCCATCTTCACAAATATAGATGATATAGCTATATAGCGAGTTAATCACTTTAGTTACTTAAAATACACAAACAGAGAAAACAAATGGATGTTCACCACAGGCAAAATTAAGCATGAATGTGTCAGGAATCCGTGTGAAAAAGCCAAAGTTTTCATCAGAAGCTTTTCCTGCTCAGGTTCCCACTTTGGAAAGACAAGCTATAACTGAAAAAATGTTCTTTGCTATAGACTATTATGTCATGCACTCTGAATGGTTGATTCTAATTACTGAACAGAATAAAACATATTTAATATCTGACAATATGTTGACTGGGTATAAAGAACAGATTACTATCATTTTATTACCCATTATTTATTTTATTTATTTTTAGATTTATAAACCTCTCCCATAGCCCCATAGGGCTCTCTGGGCACTGTACAGTGTAAAAAAAAACTCAATAAATTATAGCTACATAAATTTAAAATTGCTTAGGTACAGCAGTAAAAAAACCATCATAAAATCCCTAATATAAAATCTATTCAATATTATTTAAACTGTAAAATATCTAGAGAAGAGGAATGTGTTTGCCTACCACCCAAATGATGATAATGAGTGCACCAGACGTACTTCTCTGGGAAGCCTATTCCACAGATGAGGAGCCACTACCTAAAAGGCCCCTCTTCCATTTGCCATCCCCATCACCTCTTTGGGGGATGGCTTTCTAAGTAGGGCTTTTGAACCGGATATTAGTGGTTGGGCAGGTACAGATTTATTTATTTATTTGACTTATTTTCCACCAACTTGGCCTGTGGGCCCTCTAAGCTGATTACAAACAGTTAAAACATCTCCTAACAATAACAATAAAAGCAAGCATTCTAAAATACAAAAGCAAAGACAATAAAAACAACACAATACATGGTTGAAGGCAATTAATTTAAAATTCTCAAGATAAAATTATTAAAATGCCTAGAAAATAGGTTGTTTTTGCCTGGCACTGAAAACATTGCAACCTATGGGAGTAGGCATTCCTTCAATATCCTGGTCCCAAGCCTATCCCTTGTTCAGTATTTCATATTAAAAGAGGTGGGGGCTCTCTGGAAAGCCAGGTTGCTTACCTGCAACTGTCGTTCTTCGAGTGGTCATCTGTACATTCACACATAGGGGTGCTACTCCTGCGCAGTGCCTGTTTTCGGAAAGATTCTCTCAGCTCTAATGGTTTTTGGCGGGAACTCCCCCCCCTTATAATGGGCAGAGTCCCCGCCCTCTCGCCAGTCAGCCGAAGACCGCCCATTCGCCCCCAGCTGGTACCAGCAAGGAAACGCAAGTTGAAGAGAAGCGCAGTTCATGAAATATGAACCCAGTCACTGACACTGATGCGGGGCCGGCAGGTGGGTTGTGCGAATGCAGATGACCACTCGAAGAATGACAGTTACAGTAAGCAACCTGCCTTTCTTCGTCATGGTCTCTGTGCATCACACACATGGGTGACTAGAAAGCTTACCCACCAGGAGGCGGGACAGTGTTGCTTTTCAGGAATACTAGAGAGGATGGCATGGCCAGGAAGCAGTCCAGGTGAAACCAGCTTTACGTTGGTCGGAACTGCTTTATGGAAGTTCATAAAGCCTATCATGCATTAGTTTTGCTTAAGTGAGTAGCATAGGAGGTAGTTACAGTTCTGATGGAGTGTCTCTTTGAGGGATGAGTAAGAAAAGTTTGCCAGTTGGTAGGAGAATTAGATGACTGAAACGATCCCCATCGATAGGTGTTGCTTTGTTGTGTTCAGAGTACGCAATGGACAGAGGCTTGGTTTTTCTAAATGACTTAGTTCGGGACCGAGCTGGTTCTCTCAGGTGCATTTACTCTGAAAAATTAGAGTGTTCGCAGCAGGCCAGTTGCCGGAATACTTCAGCTAGGAATAATGGAATAGGACTTCGGTTCTATGTTGTTGGTTTTTGGAACTGGAGCCATAATTAAGAGGGACAGTCAGGGATGTTCGTATTGTGGAGGTATAGGTGGGGTTCTTGAACCAGCGCTAGGTGAACCCGAGCAAAGCATTTGCCAGGAATTTTTTCAGTAATGAAGGACGAAACAGGAGGAGGTTCAGAGTTGATCATGTAGTGCCGCAGTTCCAATCCTATACGGTGCCGGAGAACAATCCAGCAACATTATTCCCAAGAGTTGCTGGGCAGCCTCTGGGGAACCAAAGTCTTTGGGTTCCGAGTGGCGGGGGGTGGTGTGGTGGAAGACTGTTTGGAGAAGCTGAAACTTAATGGGACTGACGGAAGTGGTGCAGCAGGAGTGTAGCTTGTGACTTAATTTGACTCAACACACAAACCTGTTCCAGCTTAGCTTGGAGCATACAGCATGATGGTAGAAGCACCAAGGTGGTTATCGGTACCAGGAAGGCCATCAGTACCGAGGAAGTTGAACCTGTTGTCAGTATCAAGGTTGTTGTCAGTACCAGGGAAACTTGGTACCGAGGAAGTTGTCGGTCCCAAAGTCAGCATGTAAGGTACACTTCAATTTCAGAGTGTATGATTCGGAATAGGTGATGAGGGAATCAGGGTGACAGAAGCATTGATCGGTCCACTCTTTGCTTATGTCCAAATTAGTCAGTAATATTGTATAGTAGACATGGTTCTGTTGGGGGACTCAGTTTCTTCCTTCTCAGTACCAGCCAGATGGCTGCTTGTGTACTGATCCTGTGGTTGTTGGACTAATGGGAGTATGGTTGAAAAGCTGAAACTTAATGGCATTGACAGAAAAGGAGATTTGCTAACGGGATCGATGTTGCCTCTCTTCATTTGTTCACGGAGAACACTGCTCAGCATATTCTCCATTGCTATCTGAATGGTCTGTACCTCCAGCATACTTTGGAAGGCATGGAGAGCTGTGGACACTGTTAGCAACTCTAAACAGTCAATCTGTCCCACTATTTCATGAGTATGTGAGATATCTTAAATTGGGAGCAATATACAGTGGGTCACACATCCGGTCGGGGATGCGTTAGTATCCAGTGTGGCAGTCAGGTTTGATGGTTGCCACGGCATCCCTTAGGTCAGGTTTGTTTCAACCATCAACCAGAATAGTGTATGTAGATAATAGCACAGAGGTGGAACTGCAGTTGAACCACAGCTGTAATGGTCTGATCCGCAGCTTGGATTTGTACAAAATGGACATTCTCAGATTTGGTAAATTCTACGTAGGTCTAGGATGGGATGAATGCTCACATCTCTATTTGATACAGTCTGGTAACTTGTGGAGAAACCAAGCATGGCAGCCGGATTCATGAAGAGGGTCTAGTTGCAAACCTGATTCCAGATCTGTGTTTTATAATTAATATGAATAGATCTATTATATGATTTGTCAAAGCCTTTGTTTGTAAAACAGGGCTTAAGGGGAGGATGTTGTATCTCATACTTTGATACTGACTATGAACCTTAGGAAGTGTCCATGTGTCAGGTAAAAGTCTATGGAAAGTCGGTTTGTTTTAGCCCCAAGATGTGAAGCAATTGTCTTTGAGCAACAGAAGAATATTTTGGAGCATGGTCCTTCTGAGTTCAGTAGTTTGATGAGTCAGATGACTCCATGTTGGTGTAGGATGGGGCAAACATCACTATGTTTATTCGGTACGGTAAGTTTAGAATGGGGTGAACATCCTCATCCATGTCTCATACCATGATATAGTTGAAGTAGATACCGTGCACGCAGGCCAGACTGGTGAGAACGGTGCAGTCTCTAACCTGATTCTGTGTACGTGGTATACAGTTAAGAAGACCTATGGGTCAGGCCTGCTGGCCTCCCATGTGGGGGGATGATATCACAGTCTATCCCCAAATGAGGGAGGTGAGGCCAAGATTGTTAGGGAAGGTTTGCGGCATCGGTGGTGTTGAGCATACTGGTATAGACCCACTGGTTGGAGAAAGGTCTCAGATTGAGCGAGGGCACCCATCTCTCTTTGGTACCATGAAAGAGTCTGAGTAGAACCCGTGCATACAGGCCGGACTGGCAAAGACAACGCAGTCTCACACTTGATTTGTATCTGTGCTCTGGTTAGGAGATCCTATTGATCAGATGTGATGGGCTCCCTTGTGGGGAGATGATGTTGCAGTCTATCCTGGAATGGGAGAGGGTTTGCAGGGGAAGTTCGTGTGACCCATTTAGGGGTGGCATCTGTCAATGTTGAGGCACTTTGCAGGTTGTTGGGGTCGTTCGTTCGTAGGGATGGGTAGGTCGTTCGTTGAACGGTTAGTGACCCATGAAGTACTCCTGGTGGTAAGGTTGGAAGGGGTGGTATTGACTCTGCCCATTTCATGGCCTCTTACAAGTTCACTTATGAGAGGGTCCCCATCCCATTTTGTGAGCAGTAAAGGCACGTTTTGTGGATTGAGTCCAGCTTCTCATCTGAAGCTGAGTGGAAGAGACTGGTGCCATCAAACAGCATGTTTTCCACCCTCTGCTTAGTCTCCTGGGGGAGATTGCCAGCTCAGAGCCACGCATGTCCCCTGAGGGTGATTGCACCAACAAGCACCTTGGAATCACAGATGACATGATGCCTCACCGTCGCTAGCTGTTGCTTGGAAAGCTGCATCGATGAAGAGTCTGTCCAAGTCCCTTTGTTGGTCAGGGAGGAATGCAGCAAGCAACTCCATTTTTTGCCACAAAAAGTACTGACAGTGGGCCATAATGGCCTCATAATTGGAGATTCAAAGTCCAAGGCCCATGGCAGAGTAGATCCAACAATTTTTTTCATCCCTCATGATCGGTCAGTGTAGAGTGTTCTCTGGTCTGTTGACCCTGAATGGACTTGATGACTGCTGAGTTAGGATCAGGATGTCACAGTAGAAATGGGATGTCTTGTTCCTTGACCTTATACATTGACTCAAGGCACCGGGAGGTGGGAGGTGGCTGGTTTGGTACTTGCCAAGGTTCCATCATCGCCTGATGTAAGGTTGATATGAAAGGCAGAGCCACAGGAACCGTGTCCTCCATCCTGATAATATCATAGATGTTATCTGGATCCTGCTCCGTATGCTGTTGGATAGTGATACCGAGGGAGCTGGACATACGGACTAGCAGTCTGGAGAACCGTCCCATACTTTCACTGGGCAATCCCAGGCCTTGAGTTGATACAAGGTCAAAGGATGTCAATGCCTGTTCTGTGTTCCCCAAATCCAATTCTGAAAAGTAAGTGGCACTCAAACAGGATGAACAAGCCAGGGATTCTTCCAGATGAGCAATAACGGTCACAGAGGTAGATGGAAGATTCTGAGCTGTTGGTGGTAAGTGCTTTGGGGGTCACCTTTGTTGCATTGGTGGTGGTGGTGGACACCCCAATCTGTAGGGGTGGTAGTATTACCATAGTCCTCAGGTCCGAAGCCTCCATATGGAGGTGGCATCCAGTATTGGCTTCTTTGTGGACGTGCTGGGTTGGTGCTGAAAGCAAGAGGAGGCTGGCGTGTCAATCCCAATGAGGTGTCCGGGAATAAATGTCCATAGAGGGTTGGAGTGGGAGGACAGATCGGCTCCTGATGGTCATGGACTGATTGCACCGAACGTTGGGAAGGTGCCAGTGAGTGGGTGGGCGACTCCCTAATCTCTCCATCTGATATCGGTCCCAGGACTTGAGATTTGATCGGGCTGGATCTAGGTCTCGGTGATGTCCATCGAGAGGGGCTCAGTACGCCACTCGGAGATGGTCATGATGTTGTCTGGACCAACGATGGTCAGATTGGAGGTACACATACGGGAATGGTAAGCCTTGTGAGCCAAACGAGAGTGTTTCTTATTTTTTCTCCCCAGCTTATCCTTTTTGAGACACCTTGTCTTAGCAGTCCCTTAGGTCTCGAGATGCTTTTTCTCCTTTCGCTTTTTCGGAGACTGAGACTGTTCTGAATGCCTTTTCTTGGCTTTACCGTTGTCCCCTCATTCAGTACGGGAAGGAGCATGCTCTGTTGAGGCAGAAGGACCGGCAGGTGGAGCTGCAGTAGCCTCTCTCATCGCCATCAAAGCTTGGTCCCACAGCAGCTTTTTGAAGTGATTTTCCCAGTTCTTGCGAGCCTGACAAGTGAAGACCTGGCAGTGAACACATTTGTCTATGCGATGGCCCTCACTGAGACAGAGCAGGCAGAGCAGATGAGGGTCGGTAGGCGACATTTTTGCTTCGCACTGAGTGCACTTTCAGAAGGCTGAATGCTGCACCATTGAAGAAATGAAAGCACAATAGGACAAGAGAGACGATAGTGGGGATTATTTTAATATTATCATTATCATCATCATCATCATCATTACTGGTGGGAGGGGGTAAGGGAAAAGGTAGTTTGTGTAGTAAGGATAGGGTGTTGAGGAGATAGTATTTAGGATAAAGTTATAAGGAAAGTTTTAAAGATAAATTGTGAGAGAACAATAGTAAAGAGAGAATCTGACGCAAAGCGAATGGGCGGTCTTCAGCTGACTGGCGAGAAGGCAGGGTCTCCACCAATTTATATGGGGGGAGTGGAGATCCCACCAAAAACTGTTAGAGCTGAATCTTTCCGAAAACAGGCACTGCACAGGTGCAGCACCCACATGTGTGATGCACAGAGACCATGAAGAAGAATCTTTCATATTTCCCCCCCCCCTCCCAACACTATTATTTCATCCCTTTATGAGAGTATCTTTGAGGTCCGTACCATGCAGTGACTGCAATAGGTAAAGTGCACCAAATAGTATGTGCAATTCTGGTCAGTATGGTAGAGAAACGCTGCTTAAAAGTCCTATGTGGAAAGGCCCATCACCTAAAGAGCCAGTAAACAAATTAATAGGGAATGATGTGCACTCAATAAATGTCTTGTGTGGAAAATCTCTCAGTCTAGGTATCATAGTAGAACTCTAGAGATGGAATAATTACACACTGACTTCAGGCTTTTCTGCACACAGCTTTTAGCATGCCACTTTACTTGAGCTTTCTGCTTCTGGATTCTTTGCAGGACTAAAGCTGGCTCCCTTACACATGCTTTTTTCCCCTCTGCCTTTG